GTGTACCTGTATTTGTATGTGCATGTTCTTACATGTTTGTGTGTGTGAGTGCATGTATGTGCATGTATTGTGTGTTGATGTGACTGTATTATTGTATGTGCATGTATGTGCATATGTGTGTCTGTGTGTAGGTGAGTGCACACATGTGTGCATGTGTACATGTGTACATGTGTATGTATGTACATGAGTATATATATGCTTGTGTGTGTTAGTAATGTGTATTTGTGGGCATATTGTGTGAACATTCTGCGTGTGTGTGTGTGTGTGTGTGTGTGTGTGTGTGTGTGTGTGTAGATTTGTGCATACTACAGTAAATGGGTGGAGCTCAGAGGACAATATCAGGTGTTTGTCCTCACCTGTTACTATCTTTTGAGTAAATTACCACTACCTTACCAAGTTGTCTGACTTACTAACTTTCTATGTCTCCAGTTCCCACTTCATTTTTTTCTGTTAGGATACTGTGAGGTAACAGAAGTTTGCACTATTGTGTCTTGCTTTTCCATGAAATGTGGGAATCAGAATTCAGGTCACCAGGTTTAACACAAACCACTTTATCCACTCAGTCATATCCCCAGCTTGATTAAAAATCTTTGTGAATTCTTTAAACCCTAAAAATATATTTCATTTTGTTCTTTTTAATTTCACTGAAGGTCTATTTTATTTTATTTTTCTGGTAGCATAGATATGTTTAGGAAATTCTTTTTTCTGTTTTTCATATCATTTTTGTGACTATTTTCCCTTTTATTGAAAATAGATTATTTTCTCTTAAAATACATCCCAATTACAGTTTCTGCTCCCTCTGTTTCAGTTTCTCCAATACAGGTCCACTCCCTCCCTTCCCCTCATTAAAAAAGAACAGGCTTCTAAGAGATTACAACAAAACAGGACAAAATATAATATAACAAGAGAAATCAAAAACCATCATATTGAAATTGAACAAAGCAAACCAACAGATTTAGGAAAAAAGACTGAGAGATGGCACAAGAATCAGAGACCCAATTGTTCACACACTCAGGAGTAACACGTTTAGGAAAATTTTATGCATAGAAAATTAGGTAATGGTAATTTTTTTCACACTGAAGAACCATAGACTTGAAGTGTCTAATTTGTAATAGTGCACTTTAGCTAGATTTTCTCTTTCATGGATATAAGGAAGCCATCTCCTGTCCATGCCATTAGAACTGAAAATTGAAAGATTTACTCAGTGATAGTAGCCTTCAAAAATATAATAGGAGACTTAAAACTTTTGAAAAAGGTTGATTAGGATATGGTTTTACAAGGTAATGATTCCCAGATAATCCAACTTTCATAAAATGTTTCATGACAAACAAACATTAAAGGATATTTCTAGTTACAATTTTCACAAAAGGTTTAGTTAGTATCTGTTAAAGATGAGCAGTGTCACCCAAGAGGACTTAAGAATCTACAGGTCTATGTCAAAATTGAGGGAGGTCAGGGTACAGGTACATTTTTCCATTCTTATGACATAGGAAAATGTCTGGAACATGGGCAATGTTCAATATGGATTTGATAATATATGTGCAAATGAAAAAATGCATGGATGTAAAATAATGCAGTGAGCCAATAAATTAATTAATTGAATTCACAATACATTAATCTAGGTGGTAAAATAACCAAATGTCATTGTAAGATAGTTGGAAGTTATTATGGTCATCAAAACAGTAAGTAAACAGGTACCTGGGAGGGGACATTTTAGGAAGGAAGGAATATAAGCCATCTCATTACTTACAATCTGAAAGTTCAATAAAATAAAAGTCACACAATGACTTATCTTGGAAAGACAAGATCAAGAGTTTACACTTTACCAATGGCTATGAGATAATAAATTGCGCTGTCCCTTTCTACTTCCAATTACATGCCTGTGATCTTAGTTCTGGTTATGTTTACAATTCATAAAAACAACATTGGACAGAATCATAAAGGCCTTCTTTTCCATAATGGCTTCCCAACTTCTTCTTGTGCTGATTACATTAGAAGGCTAACATTTGGAGTAAGTCCAAGAGAGTAGTAGTATGGTTGTGATTAGGTTTCAATAGCTTCTTGATCTATCCATTTACTATACATTAGTCTTAGAACAATAAATATCAGAGTCTTAAATAAGAAGTGATTTCAAATTAAAAATCCCAGTAAAAACTCAAAATCTTATTTAGAGTTGTTGCATAATTTTGTAGGTCTAAATTGAGTAATTACTTTAAATGTAGGCCCTTTTCTCTGGATAGAGCAATAGTATGAAGTCATTGTTATGGGTGAGTAACACAAACATGAAGTTGCTTCTCCTTAGATACCATTCTGAGCTTTTTTCCTCTGCTGTAGCTGTCATTCCATAGTTATCTGGAAATGAGATTCATTTTGAAAGGTGAACCTTCCAAAGACTGACTCACCAAAGCTGCAGGGAAAGAGTTCATTGAAAGCAAAGTGATTTCTATTCAACTCAGATTTCTTTGTCGCCAGTGGCTCATTCATTCTTTTTTGTTTGGCAGTGCTTTGATAAATGATAACTCATGGTGTCAGCAGAGTTAGAAAAATTAAAGGGAAAGTTCAACTCAAAACTCTTGACTTAAAAGCATCTTAAAAACAGAATCAAATTTCACTTGTCTTCATTGGTGTGTAAGTCGTGTGGAAGCAGGAACAGAGTTCTTGGTAGTATTCTCAAATATTTGTAATTATTCTTCACCTTTAGAGTTCCTTTCACCTTTTTCAAGGCCAACTATTATCTGTTCACAAAATATTGGTTAATCATGAGCCCATATTTCTTAAAATTTCCAGTGATAAACATTTTAGTACCAAAAATTTAAGAAATTGTTTCTCTGCTGCATAGCTAGGAAGTTATAAAACATTTAACATGTTTTATATGCATGGTTTACTATAAATGACTTTAAATCTCATTATGTTATATCTTTTTTTGGGCAGGCTTATCCATTAATGTAAATAAGCTATTGGGTATGCCTCACAAAGTGTATGAGACAACAAGGGACAAGACAGGTGAATGCAGCATATTTTAAAAATTAAAAAAATTCTACATTCGAAAGTTTCCAGTTGGCTTCAGTTCTTAACTAAAAACAATATACATAATGGATTACTAGTCTTTTCAAAATTGTAGGGAGAACCATAAATACAATGCTTCCCATGACTACAGTTGTGCTGAACTAAGATAAAAATCTTACTTTCTAGAGCTTGAATGTAGGACACAAAACTGGATGGCAGAGTTATCCTTGTGCTTACAATCATCTCCCAACACAAAGTATACTGTTATATGAAGTCTAAATATTGAATATTGTACTTCTTCATGCCTATTCTTTATATATAACTAGATTTGTCAATATGCTTTAGCACAAAATTCAGAATCTTTCCCCAACCACATGCCTCTACCAAAAGAAAACTTAAAAATTTGAATAATTGAGGACAACCATCAACACCTTTGTCTTTTCAAGGTATGTGCTATCAATTTTAGTGCCTACAATTCTTTCTTCTGTCCTCACTGCCACTAAAACCCTCCAATTCATTTCACAACACACCTTCCCTCCTAAGCATCTCAGCACAGAAGAGAACGATTTTCTTTTCTCCCTGTTTATGTTCTGCTTCTGCCCAGCTATATCACTTCCTGTTTGTCTATACAGACCTCCAGACCTCTATGGTTGGCCAGTGGCGAGTTCCATTCTCTGACCCCAGACAGGCTTTACTTGTGCAAGGAGGATATCACCATAAAAAAGCATCACCAAACCTTCACTTTGGAGTGCCACACAGGACTGAGCACACATCACTAATATTTACTTGGTACCCATTGGGCTGCTGGACAAAGTGTGTGTGTGCGTGTGTGCGTGTGTGCGTGTGTGCGTGTGTGCGTGTGTGCGTGCGTGCGTGTGTGCGTGCGTGCGTGTGTGCGTGCGCGCGCGCGCATGCGCGCGCACGCTCTTTTGAAGCAGAGAGCTTAGAATCATTTAGACGACCTAAGTATAATACCCAGAAGACAACTCTTACTGTCTCAGGCAATTAAAACAGAATATGCTACAGCTGAGATCAGTGTGAAACCATTTCCTGGAAGCATGTTGAGCAGACACTGAATTCCTCCCCTAGGCTAGATCCAAGGGTTCCTGAAAGAACTGGGATTTGAATTACCAAGGGCTTGCTTCTGTCTATTATTCTTTATGTAGATAATTATTAAAAATGTGTAAATGCAAGAGGAGATATATAGTTTTATCTGTACAACAATTCAGCTGCATAATATTAAAAAGGTTTTGATAGGCATACTGAGACCAAAACCAATCTTCATAGCATTCTTTAATTAAAATGGGGATATATGTTTGTGCTGTGAATAAGCACCTTTGAAAAAACCAATCTTTGGGATGTAAAAAAAAACCAACTCTTTGGGATGTAATGCCTGTTTATAATGAAGAATAGCACTAAATTGTGGAAGGAATGAACAGAATTGCAGTGCGGGGCTTTTTGTAATTGGTTGTGAATGCATTAAAACCCACCATGAGTTCTATATGAAAGAAAATACATATCTTTCCCATTAGACATTCCAAACATAGTTGGAGAAATTCACTTCTAAATAGTTTGTATTTACTAGCCTTATTTTAATGGTAGCTGTGAATGAGTTGAGCATTGGTTGTATATTTTACAATGTAAAGTCTGTCCAAAGAAATGAGCCTTTAAGGCCCTGGGGCTTACATTCACAGTTATATAACCCCAATTAACACTCGAATGAAGAAGAGGCCCAATTTCAGCATTTCTGAATTCCAAGAACAGAGCAGAGTGATGAATAGATGGAGCAAAAGCAGTTTTCTCCTCAGGAGACATTTTAAACAGCCATGTTTCTATGGATGAATTTTTATTAGTATTGTCAATTAATTAATCAAAGTGGATTAGGTTTGTAATAGATAGGAAGAGAGTTAAAACCTATTGCACATGACATGCTCCTGAATGGCTGACTGATTATGGACACCCTATGGGGTAGTTTTATTACTTTGGTTTTATCGATGAACAACAAGGTGCAGCTGTTACCAAGAAGCAAAGGTATGACTTAAATTTAGCTTTGTCCCATCTGAACATTTTCATTTCACTATGCCATATGCCTGCCCTGTGTCTGATTAATAGTCATAAAACTCTAGCTTAAATTACTATTTCCCAATTGTAAAGCCATTTATATAATTCTTAGAATGTCTACTGTGTTACTTACTCTTCTAGATTCAAGAGCAGGGATTAGCAAATGTTTCAGTAACGTGCCACATAGTCAATATTTTGAGCTTGGGGAATTGCATGGCCTAAGTTTCTGGTGCTTAGCTCTATTACTTTAGCCTGCAAACATAGACATGGGCCAAAGATAATTCAAACTAGAGTGGTTATGGCTGTTTTTCAAAAAACAAAACAAAACAAAACAAAACAAAACAAAACAAAAACTGAGCCCTGACCTGGGAGAAGAAGAGAGATGAATTATCAGTGAATTTCTTTTGGTCTCAGACTGTAGACTATCTATAGAGGAATGGAAGATTTCAGGGCTTAGATATTTTGAGTTTCCTGAATATATGATTGGGAGAAATGAATGATGAGTGTCAGGATTGCCTGTGTGCCTCTGCCTCACAATTCTTTATATGGTCCCTTGGTTTATATATTGTTTGGGTTCTGTCATTCTAGAGTACAGAGCCTCAAAGATCAATACATTAGTTAAATAATCTATTTATCATATGACAGGACGTTTATTGTACTTAAAACCTGAGCAGAGAATGAATTTCTTGCATAGAACATTCTGAGCATCCCTGTTTTCTTTGAAGAATATTATTTGCTTTCACTGAATCTTCCCATGGTCATTTTGTGGCTATGTTCCTGACTTACAGAAGCTAACCAGATTCCACACAGATGCAGTTATATCCTTGAGTTCCCTCAATAACTCTAACCCAGCTCCTAATTTATTACTCTAATTCTGATATATATGGCATATTCTTATGTGTGCGTGTGTGTGTGTGTGTGTGTGTGTGTGTGTGTGTGTGTGTGTGTAGAAGTCAGAGGACAACTTGCAGTTGTCTCTCTCCTTCTACCACATGGGTCTGGGGGCTTCAACTTAGGTCATCAGGTTTGGTAGCAAGCACTTTTAACCCACAGAGACATCTCCCCAGTTCTATCAGGCCATTTTAGGAGAAAATAAGATTTGATTATTTTGCAAATTGGAATTCCTAAATATTTATTTCTTAATTGAGTAAAGTTGATCTTTTAATGTTAAAGATAGCTTATCTGAATAGTACTAAAATGTGTTAAAATCTTTTGGTTAACTTCATGATTAAAGGATTTCTGTGTTTTAAATACTGAGGCTAATTCATTTACTGCATGTCAAAGGGTTCATCCCCAAATATCATAGCTAAATCTTCATTATGTTTTATGATGTAACCTGCTATGGGGACTTCCTTCAAGACTGGGTTATTGTAGAGGCAATCAATTTAAAATGAGATAAGTGTGAATAAATCCAATAAAGTTCATTTCCTAAGAAGGGATTCTCACCACAAATTTGTCATGGGGAACTCCACTGGTAACTAATTTTAAACCTCTGGCTTTTGCATATGAGCAGTGAAGTCCTGTTGTGTGAACTCATTCAGTTTGTGCTGTCTTATTATGACAGTCTTAGCAGACCAATACAATGTTTAACATATGCCAAATGATTGATTAGCCACTACCTATGATTAGTTTTGAAAGAGTGTCTTTATAGGGTGCTTCTTTTACTTTTTTACTTTTTGGTTATTCATGATATGGTTTCTCTGTATAACAGTCCTGGCTGACCTAGAACTCACTTTGTAGACCAGGCTGGCCTTAAATTCACAGAGATCTGTGTGCCTCTGCCTCACAAGTATTGTTATTAAAAATGTGTGCTGCTTCCACCCTGATAGCATGCTTCTTTTATTTTCCACATCCCACATACTCTTGTGGAGTCACAGTGTTTTCTGAAATGACGAGTAAATACAAGCACATTAGATACATTCCTAGACATCTGTCTGGTTTAATTTTAATTCCCTGCAGCAAGAATGGTGTATGAGCCTAAAGTGATATAATTGTGATAAATTTGGAGGCTAGAATACGGACTATTATGACTTCCGCATGAAAAATACCTGAGCAATGCATACTTTTTCATGATCTGGCTACTTTTATAATCTGTAAGTTATTTTAAAGAAGGCATATTCAACCAACAGTGAGAGGTGGAGAAAATTTTATTCTGTCTTTAAAGAGACTCCTCTAAAACTAAACCAACAGATTTCACAGCGAAATTTGAGCATTTAATGTGTTTATATTTTGTTATGAAATCAAAGGGGGGAATAATGTTAAAGCTCCACACTCCAGATTGTCTGTCTATGTATCTATGTATCTATGTATCTATGTATCTATGTATCTATGTATCTATGTATCTATGTATCTATGTATCTATGTATCTATGTATCTATGTATCTATCTATCTATCTATCTATCTATCTATCTATCTATCTATCTATCTATCTATTATCTATCATATATACATATATGCATACATACATTCATATATATACCATAGTCTTTTGCATAATATATAATATATATATATTAGCCAAATACCTCCCAGAGCATGTTGTCCAGGGTATGACTGTTTGATACTTTCTTCAAACATATGCTGTAAGGCAAGCTTGTTTTTATGGAGTCAGCTATGGCTTGGTGATACCAATACAGTTTAATGCTTGAATAAGCTTAATCAAATAAAGCTTATGAAAATGCACACCTCATAGAAATAACTTCCCTGAGTAATTTAAATGTCAGAAGTATGAGTTTGCCATTTTTTTCCTTCAGCAAAACCAATTCAAAGCTATTTGAAATGGTATAAGATGTCAGTGTTCCGTGTAATCTATTCCAGTGCCACCAGCTGATCCTGGATTGAATCTGGGGAACGCATCTTTCTCCTAGTCTCTAGCAATAAGACAATTTGTATCTCTAGTCTACCTGACAGAAAACATTAACTTTTATAAAAAGACGTGAATCTACCTTTTCCTTTATGTTTATACCATTGTCATGTAAATATATAGTTCCCAGTGTATCAATAAAATAACTGCTAAGACAAAGCCAAAATTATACAAAGAATGTAGAGGGTAGATGAAAAAAATTAATCATTTCCCATTGGGCTTATATTATTGCTTTTTATTAAAAATTGTTCCATGTCAACAGCTATAATTGTTCTAGAAAAAGTCTATTTTTAATAAAGAAGGAGTTACATATTTCCTTCACAAAGAATTTATGAGCAATTTTATGTCTATTTGAATAAACAGAAGATAGCATTGTTGGAGACTAAGCAACATACGACACTTTCAAAGATCAAAAAATGAGGGGACTTTTAGAAAATTGTTGAAGCTTTGTTTCAGTTTCCTGCCACATCAGAATTAAGTAAACTAACCACCATCCCCCAGATGTGTACAGCTTTGGCAGCCTGCTTGCAATTATGAGAGCTCCTAGAGAAAGCTCATATAGAGTAGTATCTATTCCTACCCTGTTGTTTGCTTTATTGAAATATGGGCATGGAGATCTTCCTGGTCTTTCAGAGATTTATAAAGGAGCTTCAAACTGATTCAGTGTTCCTTGAAAAGCACAGGAAGTTGTTTTCTTTTCTCTGTAGATGAAGTGTTTATCACACACACACACACACACACACACACACACACACACACACGCCCCCCCACACGCACACACTTACAGGAAATCTCTTCGATTTATATTATAATTTCTTCATTGAATCAAGAAAAATCTCTAAATTTAGTGTTAGACTTTTAGATATACTTTTGAAATAATTTGATGAAGATTTGGTTTACACTTTAACCAAGTGAATAATGTGCTGTTAGAATGGTGCTCAATAATAAGGATATTTCCTTCAAAAGTATTAAATTGTACTTCATTTGTTAGTTAAAAATTCTATGGCTCTGTTTCAATCCCAATGGGGAAATGGAATTAATTGTAGAATGTGTCATGCTACTCATAGTAAATTTCATTTATAGATAATTTAAGATGCATGAAAATGGTTTACTATAATTGTTTTTTCAAAAGCCCCTGAGAGAATCTAATTCCAAAAGCCCCTGAGAGTCATGTCGTTGCTTAAGAGTTATATACTCTATTCCTTTTTTCACATACATGTAGTCAGAAAAAAAAATAGAACTTTAAATTTCCATGCTTTTCTGGAAACCCATGAAATTTTCTTATAAATTGGAAGCATGGCTATGCATGTCTTTACTCTTGAATATATAAAGAAAACTTGCTGTTCATGTCACCTACAAAAAGCATAGGCTTTCAAGTACATCTTGCATTTCCTTGAGTTTCTGAAAGTTATTTATGGTAATCGGTAGAAGTCACCATTTTCTGCAAATACCATCTGGAACAGAAATTTTAGTACAATTTTATTGGGAAAAAATCATTAATAAGAAAAATAGTGTGACTGTTTCCCATGCTTTGAGGGCAACATCCTCCCATTGGATGTAAAAAATACTTGTTATGACATCTTGTTGTTATGTGAATCCACAGGGCTAAAGGCGGCAAGGTATGCTTAATTTTTAAGGAAGTGTGTGTTTCCATGAAAATGTCTTTAGGAAAAATAAAGTAAAAAAAAAAAACTTATGATAGTAAAAAGAAATACAGAAAGCTAATGGGTTTGAAATATTCAGCTTGGATTTATTTCTACATGAAATACCTTGTCATTACTCAAAAAATTTTTATTGTTTCTATGGGTTTGCAACTCACCAACAATGGACAATTTATTTAGATGACTGCTGGAGCTCTGGGAAGCAACTCATTTGTGCAAATTTGGCTGGGAAAGAAAAAGTGTCAAAAGAAAGCACTAACATTAATTCATCAAAGAAAATGACTATGCATTTATACTATTCAAATGAGTATGCTAACAACAACAACAAATCTGCTACTGACTCTATAAAATGAAATCCATGGAATTTGGAAAACTTTCTGTAGATTCTCAAACATCTGATATATACTGAAATACTCACCTTTCATCTAAGACTTCTGGATTCATA